TTTGCTATGCAGACGTCTCGTCTATTTTATTGTCCGAGTGAATTATTTTAGGGATAGGCCCTGTGTGTTTATTTCTCGTAATTTAACTTCCACGAGATCATTCACTCCTCAGAGTGTTGAGTTAATTTCCTTGGGTGTTAGTTGGTTGCAGCCGACTTAATGTGCTGTCATAGTGTAGTTTTATCTACTCTCATTTTATTACTCTAATACAGTTGCTTAGCTAAGCCGCTTTTGTATTTATTGTGGTATAATTAATCATTGATCTTTGTTGGCGCAACTTTAGCTTATTTGATCCTTTTATTGCCGTCTATTGGTAAAATAAATTGTTAATAATAAACCTGTGAAGTTATTTCCACGTTTTCATTGTTACTTTACTCATGTGTTATGATGCCCCTGATCACTGGATCGAAGCTCCGCGACATCTACTGATACATCATGTCTTTCCAGTAAATAATAAATAGCTGTTCACTAACTATACAATAGTTTCGGTCTGTATTTGGGTGGTGGGGTAGCCTTGTTATTTAGGCGTTCTCTCGTCACGCAGAAGGCCCGGGTTTTATCTTCACATTGTGTGAGGCCCGTGTCCTGTGTCCCCACCATCATGCTGCTGGAATTGTCCTGGGCCCCGTTCCTCAAAGCGATCTTAGCGCTACGATGATCGTAAGCCTATGCTACAGTATGGGACTTACGATCACCTTAGCGCTAAGTTCGCTTTGTGGGACGGGGCTCTGGAGCAGCGTAAAACAATACCCTTTCACTGTTTCTGTGAGTGGTAACATATTGCATAATCCATTTATACATGTGGGAAGATAAAACTGTTTTCAGTCGTGTCCAGTGACCATATCTAAAATTAGATCTTGCTTCACTGAGACATACTGGACAGGAACGATTTTGCTGTGTAAACGTCAGACGAATATTAATATATAATGGACAGTTGAATATGACATCACTTTCATCTCTGAGGACATTACACCTGTAATTCACAACATACACATTCACGTGACAATGGTGTATTTCAACTGCATTGAGTCTCTGATAACAAGATGGTTGAAAACGATGTTATTGATGGCGCTAGCCCGTGTAACGCATGCAAAGACGAACATAACAAAGGAGAACAAAGCTATCACTGAACAGATTATATTGTAACCCTAACCCTGACCCTGACCCTGACCCAGTGTAGATCAAGCTAAGATGGACACAACAATAAAGAACAAAGCTGTCAATGCACGTGCTGCCCCAACGTAAGTGGTGTCCATGGCGTTAGTCAAGTTGCAGTTTGGCCGAATCTGTTGGGAATCTGAACAACCTACTAGAATTATCCATCTTCTTCCAGATTTCCTGGATCCAAACTCCATGTCACTCCAATAGACATTCAACCTTTCAAGAATAAATGCAGATGGCTGTCAGTCTATCTATCTAGCACAAGAATTATATACTAAATCAGAATTCCGGCAATAGTATAAGCACATGATTATGAATCACTATCAAGTGATGATACCAGGTGTTCTCGGAAAGGTGAGCAAGCCCTGCCACATAGAGACACCCGTCACAAACACATGCAAAGGCAAGTGAAGTGTTCATCCAAACAAATACTGGAACACGCCACTGTGGGAACCGCATCAGACTCCAATGCTTCCAAATTGCTTTATAATAATTAAAAATGATATAAGCAATTAAACATGTTGACTCGTTCCCCAACGAATGGATCTTGACATTGTTTGCGTCTCTGCTTTGCCCACATGCGCGCATTCTACCGCCGATGGTGTAACAGAATATCATTGTACCAGGTCAAGTTCACTGTAGTCCGGCGTTATGAGGTGCACAGCAAGAGACATTAACGTTACAAGTCACAGTCCGTCCCCGATCCCCGGACATTGGGCAGTAAGAGGTGAATGACCTTGTTTAACCAGCAGCAGCACACATACATTGTGCCCTTAACATGGTCAGGTCAATTCTACGCTGACTACTTGTTGTATAAGGACGATGGTTGCTCCCCAAAGTAAAACTACACTCGTCTCTACACAACTGGAAATACATCTTTCTAAGGCAAGGGAGTTAACTGACTATTAAAATCCAGTTTCCATCCTTGACGAACAAGGCTAGAATTTCCAGGCTCGATCATTGTGCCGCCAGTGGCTATTACGAGTTATGCCCCTTCTATGTCACTTCTACTGACCAATCAGATTCCACGTCTTATATCACTGGCCTTTGCTTCAAATAAAATGGCGGCGCCCTGTCAAAACGATTTGATCGATCATCAAGATCTATATTGTAAAAAAACGGGTCTTGCCTCGTGAGGTTGATCTTAATCACTTGAGCACCTTGAATAAAACACGATAAGATTTGCAAAAGATCTGTCGACGCCCAGTTTTGCACATGTTTTGTAAATCCTGCAGTCGACCGAAATCTGCTCGCCGAAATCTGCTCCAAGCTGTTTGCGAACCGGATGTCAAGTTCGTTACGCGATTTTGATTGGTCGATACATAGACTCGTTAGTCCAGCCAAAATGTAGCTAGTTCGGCTTGGGTGGAAACTTGGCTTTTTTAGTCAGCTAACGCCCACGCCTGGGGGAGATGCTCCAATATGTGTGCACTGAATGTATGTAAAGAAAAGTATAGAATCTCGTCTATGTGGTTCGGACACTTGACCTTGGTTGGTCAGGGTACAGCGACGCACGACCCTCAAGGCGCAGTGCAGGTGTGGGGTAGATGCCGGCTGAGGTGTGAGTAGGAGTTGGTTTCATCTCACACAAAGGATGGTTGTCTAAACCTCTCCTGTACTTGTGTTTGACTGGTCATGTCTTATCTTGAACAACCAATAACATTTTCCTCGCCGGAAGTGCAAATACTCGGTGTCCTATCTCTACATGGCGTACGTTATTGATTCATGAACGGGGTCCTTCATTCGTTTTATGGCAGTCCCATCCGATTCGTCGGAGTTCTGATACTGTTTTAAGACTTTGTTACAAATGTGTTGCACTGACCCAATGTCACGGGATCGCGCGTCCTTTCTGTAGTGAGGGGCGGTGGGGTAGCCTCGAGGTTAAATCGTTCGCTCGTCACGCCTAAGACCCGGGTTCGATTCCCGACATGGGCTCATTTCTGGTGTCCCCCTCGCTGATATTGCTGGAATATTGCTAAAAACCATACTCACTCACTCAGTTCTGAAGTGGCAGCACTCAATTTTATTTCCTCGCCAGCCAATAGTTTTAAACGCTGACACCCTGTTATTATTAACGAGCATATGTTCTTAATATCGTTGTGCTGCCCTTTGTGTGAAGACGTCACTAACATACTATATCAAAGAGAACTAGACCACCCGATCAATCTAGTCGCCTCGTGCGATAAGCCCAGGTTGCCTGTAATGCCTGTCCCGGGATCACTCCGGCTCCTTCTCAGGGAGCAGCGCTGTTCCTGGAGTACGTGTTTTGTGGGTTGTACTGCACATGAACAGTTTTGTGTCGGAATAACTATTAGTTGAAGCAATACACATGTTAATCCGTGATACTGTCATTATTCATATACACAAACAAACCCACTTTATTAATATTTATGCAAGACGTGTCAGCAATGCCCTTATTCAGGCTAAAGTATATTCACGCAACCGAATTTCAAATTTGAATTTCAAGATCTGTTAAACAACGAAAATTTTCTTTTTTAAAGAACTGACCCCATATGTTTTATAGATAAGGGTAAAAAAGCCGGTTTGGACGCTGTTAATCTGCGAAGTCAATTTTTATCAATACAACATAACGTTTGTTAACGCAGCACATGCCCCGTCGTTTATATTATCAGTCAATCCGGAAACAGTAGTCCTCTAGTTGGTGTGGGGTAAATGCTTTAGGTTCTTGGATCCAAAACGAAATAATATATTGCTTTGTTAGCCTAAGAAATACCATGGATCTACACACAAGTTGTTTAATTTGAATGTTCATATGACGTCGTCATTATATAAAACACAGCACTTTTTCTCGTTGGGACTGAAAGTTTACTGTCACATGGCAAAATATAATTTGCGTATTATTAATGATCGGAGACAAAGGTATCTGATATATATCAAATGGTAAATGGTTCTTCTTCCTTACTCTGATAAACATATATATTAATGTATTCAGACCCGTGAAACTCCGGGTTAGAATTAGCCTTAAATTCAGCAACCCATGCTTGTCGTAAGAGGCGACTAACGGGATCGAGTGGTCAGGCTCGGTTGCTGGGTTGATGCATGTCATCGACTCTCAATAATAGCGTGGATCGATGCTCATAATGACAAACACTGGTTTTTCTGGTCAAGTCTCAATTTACAAACCGCCGTCATATAGCTGTAATTTTGCTGAGTGCGGCGTTTAACAGCAAACAAACAACCAAACAAACAGTAATATTTTATTGATGCCGTTTTCGCGAAAAGAACTCTGGCGTCGTCTTGAAACAGTTGCGGTTTAGCCTGATCCCATCCAACTAGCACAGTGTGTAAACAGGGGATGTTAGACTAACATATAGTCTCTGAAATGAACATATCATACAGAAAAAACAGTTGTTCAGTTATCTTAATAAAAATCTAATAAAAAGGGAGCCAAGTGATTCTCTTCATTTCCTGATACTGCAGTAATCTAGACTTGCCAAACATTATAGACTTGCATGGGCTGTAGTTGATATAAATTTACAGGGTCTGTAAGACAGACTAAGGGGATGTCTGCTGTGTGAATCAACTCGCTACCACCTCAACTGCCACCAGGCAAGGATTAGACTGCGAACGCGGTGACGACGACAACAATCCCTGATGCAGCGCTAAATATAGATTTGTTCCGCGAGACCAGGCACGGATTCGGCGTCAGTGTTTCTATTGTGTTGTGATTCAAAGTCGTATTCACAGTCAAGACTCGCGGGTATGTAGGCGGATTGTGACGTTAGTTTCATGTCAGACTCGCGTGATAACATCCATATTTCCAAACCTAACATCCGTGGTTCTACTTTTAGCACGGGTTTTCCGTTTGTCTATTTATAGATACAGATCAGCGGCGTTTCCGCTTCTCCGTGTTACCAGCTGGCGAGGCGATCTGACAAGTAGCATCTGACCTAGGGCATGTAACCGATCACCCTTCACAGCTTAGGAATACCGGTGGAGACGAGGTGAGATATGCCGGGTATTTGACTAATCTATATGTCACGTTTACCTCATTAAGTGATCTTACAATGTTTGCAAGTTTCGCGACTGAAACTATGATATATTTATCAATATCAGGTCATGCGATGAGATATGAACTTGCAATCTGACACCTCAGTGTTTCTATCCCTCTCTTCTGTTTTGTTGAGAGAGCCGAATGAAAAGAGAATATTTTATATGCGGGGTACAAATTTTGTTAATAAGATGTAATGATTCATACACATCTGTCTGTTAACTAATTCTTCTCTAACAACCTTATAAATACTTAAAACATTAAAAAATAATTGTGAGAAATGTCAATGTTCTTCTATGGTTAGCTAATAGTCACATGCCTTGACTGGTTACTCCACTTGCCTTGCCGTCACCAGACCCGTGAAGATCCGGGGTAGAATAGGCCTTCGGCAACCCATGCTTACGTAAAAGGCGACTAACGGGATCGGGTGGACAGGCTCGCTGACTTGCTTGATGCATGTAATGGTATCCCAGTTCCGTGGATCGATGCTCATGATATCAATCACCGGAGTGTCTGTTCCATACTCGATTATTTACAGACTGCCGTCATATAGCTGTAATATTGCTGAGTGCTGCTTTAAACAACAAACAAACAAACAAACAAACAAACTCATTTTGAGTGATATATCATGTAATATTCACCACTAATGTGTCAGATAATCGAGACTGGTTATTCCCGGACGTTGACGTTGTATATTAGAAAGATGTCGCAAGCATGAACAAGATAAAGCTGCTTATCTTTATTGACATCGTTCCGGATTTGGATAAATTCAAACATTTGGCATCTGTCAGTCTGCGTCAAGGTCAGCTCATACAATTACTCCACTCATGAAAGCTTTTGATGTGAAAACAGAAATTGTGATAATTTTGAACGATTCCCTATCAATAGCATAAATAAATAGAACGGCATGACTTGGTGTCGTTTCAGGAGCGATGAATTCAGAACTGCTGATAATCCTCAATCTGTGCCTGACATTTGGTAAGTTGTAACATTCTGTTTGCTTGTCTAGGTCGGTTACACGTACTCAGTGTCCATGCTTGCTTGTCTAGGTCGGTTACACGTACTCAGTGTCCATGCTTGCTTGTCCAGGTCGGTTACACGTACTCAGTGTCCATGTTTGCTTGTCTAGGTCGGTTACACGTACTCAGTGTCCATGCTTGCTTGTCCAGGTCGGTTACACGTACTCAGTGTCCATATTTGCTTGTCTAGGTCGGTTACACGTACTCAGTGTCCATGCTTGCTTGTCCAGGTCGGTTACACGTACTCAGTGTCCATGCTTGCTTGTCCAGGTCGGTTACACGTACTCAGTGTCCATGCTTGCTTGTCTAGGTCGGTTACACGTACTCAGTGTCCATGCTTGCTTGTCTAGGTCGGTTACACGTACTCAGTGTCCATGCTTGCTTGTCTAGGTCGGTTACACGTACTCAGTGTCCATGCTTGCTTGTCTAAGTCGGTTACACGTACTCAGTGTCCATGCTTGCTTGTCTAGGTCGGTTACACGTACTCAGTGTCCATGCTTGCTTGTCTAGGTCGGTTACACGTACTCAGTGTCCATGCTTGCTTGTCTAGGTCGGTTACACGTACTCAGTGTCCATGCTTGCTTGTCTAGGTCGGTTACACGTACTCAGTGTCCATGTTTGCTTGTCTAGGTCGGTTACACGTACTCAGTGTCCATGCTTGCTTGTCCAGGTCGGTTACACGTACTCAGTGTCCATGCTTGCTTGTCCAGGTCGGTTACACGTACTCAGTGTCCATGCTTGCTTGTCTAGGTCGGTTACACGTACTCAGTGTCCATGCTTGCTTGTCTAGGTCGGTTACACGTACTCAGTGTCCATGCTTGCTTGTCTAGGTCGGTTACACGTACTCAGTGTCCATGCTTGCTTGTCTAGGTCGGTTACACGTACTCAGTGTCCATGCTTGCTTGTCCAGGTCGGTTACACGTACTCAGTGTCCATGCTTGCTTGTCTAGGTCGGTTACACGTACTCAGTGTCCATGCTTGCTTGTCCAGGTCGGTTACACGTACTCAGTGTCCATGCTTGCTTGTCTAGGTCGGTTACACGTACTCAGTGTCCATGCTTGCTTGTCTAGGTCGGTTACACGTACTCAGTGTCCATGCTTGCTTGTCTAGGTCGGTTACACGTACTCAGTGTCCATGCTTGCTTGTCCAGGTCGGTTACACGTACTCAGTGTCCATGCTTGCTTGTCTAGGTCGGTTACACGTACTCAGTGTCCATGCTTGCTTGTCCAGGTCGGTTACACGTACTCAGTGTCCATGCTTGCTTGTCCAGGTCGGTTACACGTACTCAGTGTCCATGCTTGCTTGTCTAGGTCGGTTACACGTACTCAGTGTCCATGCTTGCTTGTCTAGGTCGGTTACACGTACTCAGTGTCCATGCTTGCTTGTCCAGGTCGGTTACACGTACTCAGTGTCCATGCTTGCTTGTTCAGCACCTCCCCCCTGACGCACGGACCACGCCATGAGACGAGGCACAGGACAGGGAAGTTATCAGAAGGAATGTGAAAGTAACTGGTAGTCTGGTAATTGTGCTTGCGTGACTAAACTGGGGGAATTTCCCCAATGTCTTTGTGTCGGAAAGCACGGCATATCCTATAGTTACGCCACCGCTGGTAAAGGGTTTGTGGGTGTTCTAGACGTGTATCTTCATGGTCGTATTGGCAGGGCGACAACACGTTTCAACACGTGGTATTAGGCCGCCATACAATGCATGATACAAAACACGATACACTACATCACATAAGACATGATACAGCGTGAGATACAATACATGATACAATACATGATACGATACACGATACAATACATGATACAATACATGACACCATACATGATACAATACATGATTCAATACATGGTGCAGGTACGATACAATATATGATACAATACATCATACATTACATGATACAATACATGGTGCAAAGTACGATACAATACATCATACAATACATCATACATTACATGATACAATACTTAATACAATGTACGATACAGTAAATGATACAATACATGAAGCAAAATACGATACATTCATGATACAATACATCATACATGATACAATACTTGATACAATGTACGATACAATACATGACACAATACCTGATACAATACATGATACAATGTACGATAAATACACGATACAATACATGATACTATACATCATACATTGCATGATACAATACTTAATACAATGTACGATACAGTAAATGATACAATACATGATGCAAAATACGATACATTCATGATACAATACATCATACATGATACAATACTTGATACAATGTACGATACAATACATGACACAATACCTGATACAATACATGATACAATGTACGATAAATACACGATACAATACATGATACTATACATGATACAATACAATATTACACTACACGATACAATACATGATACAATTTACGATAAATACATGATACAATAAATGAAACAATGCATGATAAAATACATAATACAATGTGCGATACAATACATAATACAATGCACGATACAATACATGATACAGTGAACGATACAATACATGATACAATACATGATTCAATACATAATATAATGTGTGATACAATGCACGATGCAACGTACGATACAACACATGATGTAAAACATGACACAATACATTATACACTACATGATACAATACAATACATGATACAATATACGATACATTGTACGATACAATACATGCTACAATACATAATACAATGTGTGATACAATGCACGGTACAATACATGATGCAATACAATATTACAATACACGATACAATACATGATACAAAACATGATACAATACACGATACAATACATGATACAATACATAATACAATGTGTGATACAATGCACGGTACAATACATGATACAATACATGATGCAATACAATATTACAATACACGACACAATACATGATACAAAACATGATACAATACATGGTACAATACATGATACAATACACGATACAATACAATATAACAATACACGATAAATACATGATACAATACATGATACAATACATAATACAATACATGACACAATTACGAAACAATACATGATACAATGTACGATACAACACATGATACAACACATGATACGATACATCATACAATGTACTATACAATAGGTAATAAATTTACGATACAATACATGATACAATGTACGTTACAATACATGATAAAATGTACGATACAATACGTGATACAATGCAGGATACAATGCAAGATACAATCCATGATACACTGTACGATATAATACACAATACAATACATGATACAATTTACGATACAATATATGATACAATACATGATACAGTGTAAGATACAAAACATGATACTATGTACGATAGAATACATTATACAATACACGATGCAATACATGATTCAATGTACGATATAATACATGATGCAATGTACGATACAATAAATGCTGCACTACACGATACAATGTGCGATACAATACACGATACAAAACATGATGCAATACACGATACAATGTGCGATACAATACGCGATACAATGCATGATACAATATATGATACAATGCATGAAAGAATGTATGCTAGAATACATGATACAATACTCGATACGATGCATGATACAATGTGCAATGCAATACATGATACAATGTACAATACAATATATGATACAATGTACGATGCGATATATGATACAATACATGATACAATGTACGATACAATAGATGAAACAATGTACGATACAATATATATTACAATACCTGATACAATGTACGATACAATACATGATACAGTGTACGATACAATATATGACACAATGCATGATACATTGTACGATACAATCCATGATACAATTTCACGAAACAATACATGATACAGTACATGATACAATGTACGATACAATACTCGATACAATACATGATACAATGTACGATACAATACGTGATACAATAATCGATGCACTACATGATGCAATAAACGATACAATACATGACGCCCTACACTTGGCATGATAAAAAAACGTTCCCACTTTCAAGGGAAGTGAAAGTAGACTAAAGCATGTTTCATAGATTCGAGTCTATTAATCAAAAGGCGACTTGAGACCAGAAGACATATGTTCATTTTATGTTCTTATCATGTATATCAGCCTTATATATCCATGCATCGTGTTGATGAATCGAGCAAGTTATTGCATTGTTTTGACCGTTTTACTGGAATGTCTGTTTCTCCCCCTGCAGTGGTGTTCGGTGTATCGGGGAGCTGTGACCTAGGGACATATGGTCGGAACTGCGAGAAGAACTGCAGTCAGTACTGTGCCTCGGACATAGACGAGTATGTGCACTGTGATCAGTGGACTGGCCGTTGCTCTGAAGGGTGTGTTCCTGGCTGGTATGGTGGGACGTGTAACATTCCTTGCAGCAGCCACTGCAACAACAGGACCTGCAGCCAGCAAACTGGAAGCTGCACTCTGGGCTGCACAGAGAACCACACAGGGGATGACTGTGAGACAGGCATGTTCAGCTTTGATTCAGTATTTTGAAGTAAATTACAATTGAAAAAATATATACCTCCACATCCAATGTGCTCACAGCACGACATTAAGACACTGGGCAATGGATCAGAATGCAATCCAATTGCTGTCTCACTTCCCATACAACCACGGCTTACTTGTTCGTGCTGTTCTATCCACGATGCCGTACGTCGCTGGCATGCCATGGGATAGATGTCAAATTCACACTGGGACTACTTTCACCAACTGGGATAGGGTATTCACTAAGTAGGACTATTTCACCAACTGGGATAGGGTATTCACTAAGTAGGACTATTTCACCAACTGGGATAGGGTATTCACTAAGTAGGACTATTTCACCAACTGGGATAGGGTATTCACTAAGTAGGACTATTTCACCAACTGGGATAGGGTATTCACTAAGTAGGACTATTTCACCAACTGGGATAGGGTATTCACTAAGTAGGACTATTTCACCAACTGGGATAGGGTATTCACTAAGTAGGACTATTTCACCAACTGGGATAGGGTATTCACTAAGTAGGACTATTTCACCAACTGGGATAGGGTATTCACTAAGTAGGACTATTTCACCAACTGGGATAGGGTATTCACTAAGTAGGACTACTTCATCCAGGTGGGATAAGGTATTGACAAAGTGGGATTATCACATCAAGCTGGGATAAGGTATGGACTAAGTGGGATTACCACATTAAGCTGGGATAAGGTATGGACTAAGTGGGATTACCACATTAAGCTGGGATAAGGTATGGACTAACTGGGATTACCACATTAAGCTGGGATAAGGTATGGACTAAGTGGGATTACCACATTAAGCTGGGATAAGGTATGGACTAACTGGGATTATCACATTAAGCTGGGATAAGGTATGGACTAACTGGGATTACAACATCAAGGTGGGATAAGGTATGGACTAAGTGGGATTACTTCATTTAAGTGGGATAAGTTATTGACTAAGTGGAATTACCACATCTAGGTTGGAAAAGGCATTGAAAAAGTGGGATTACCACATATAGGTTAGGTAAAGTATTAACTAACTGGGATTACTACATTTAGCTTGGATAAGATATTGACTAAGTGGGATTACTTCATCCAAGTGTGATAAGTTATTGTCTAAGGGGGATTACCACATCTAGGTTGGATAAGGCATAGACACAGTTGGATTACCACATCTAGGTTAGGTAAAGTATTAACTAAGTGGGATTACCACATCTAGGTTGGATAAGGTATTGACTAAGTGGGATTACCACATCTAGGTTGGATAAGGTATTGACTAAGTGGGATTATCACATCTTGCAGGGAAAAGGTATTTACTAAGTGGGATTACTTCATCCAAGTTGGATAAGGTATGGACTAAGTTGGTTTTCCACATATAGCTAGGATAAGGTATAGACTAAGGGAGATTACCTCCTTTAGCTGGAAGAAGGTATTGACTTTGTGGGATTACCATATCCAGCTGGGATAAGGTATTGACTAAGTGGCATTACTGCATCCAAATTGGATAAGGTATGGACTAAGTGGGATTATTACATCTAGCTGGGATAAGGTCTGGACTAAGTGCGACTACTTCCTCCAGCGGGGATAAGGTATCGACTAAGTGCGACTACTTCATCAAGCTGGGATAAGGTAGGCAGAAATGCGTCCCTTAGGCACGCCAGAAACCTATGATTGTGGGTTCGAATCCCGGTTCGCCCCGATTATGTTACTAGGTTTCTCAGCACCATACCCGTGCTCATGGGTTTCACCGAAGTGGTAAACGTCTGAGACCTGCATCACTTCGGGCTTTCCTCACACATTAAGCTGAAACGCCGTGATATAACTGGAATACTGTTAAAGCGGCGTTAAACCCAACTACCTCACTCACTCACTCATCCAGGAAGGAGAATGTATTGACTAAGTGGGACTACTTCGTCAAGGTGGGATAAGGTATTGTCTAAGTGGGATAGGGGGGTATATATCAGTAGGATCCAAGTTACATCCGAATCCGATAAGATGGCTGAAAAGCTAAGATTGTAACCATGATGTAATAAGTTGATGTTGGTCTAGTGGTAGAGCGTCTGCCCGGAAAGTGAAAGGTCGTGGTTTATGGATGGCAAGATATGTTGGGGTTCCTAATGAAGGTCAGAATGTACAACAACACCGTAGTAGATTTGTCAACTAACTGTTGACGGGCCTAAGTTCATGACTTTATATATTGAGAACCTTAGCTGGAGACAAGTGACTTTCTATTGAAATGCAGCACCATATCAGAAAGAAAAATGCTGGTGTTTGCATTGACAGTATTAAAACTTTCACCAAGTAGTCAGCATCGTGGTATTTATTTGTTTAATGCTGGAACTGCCTTAGACACTCGAAGTACAATGTTGTTGTAGGTTATGTGTTTGCATGGGTCTGAGGATATGACAGGGATGGGTATGCTTGTATTTCTGCAAGTGCTTTTCTGGTGTCGAGATATATCAATCGATTTTCCCATAACAAATACCTCTTTTATCCGATATATTATTCACCGATAATGTCAGATGGAAAAATCACTATTTGCTTCATGTGGAGGGGACGGAATGACAATCACGCAGAATTCATATCATAAACGAAGCTTCTGATTAGTTGTCACTTGTCTCTCTCTCTCTCTCTCTCTCTCTCTCTCTATATATATATATATATATATATATATGAAGACCTAATGTATAAGTGTCAGTTATATGTACAACCTTACGCAGAAAATGAAATTGAGAAGAGGACAGAATTAGCAGCCACTACCAGAGCCATCATAGCTGTTATCGCCATTGCCATCCTAGCTGCAATAGCCATCATCGTTGCTGTAATATACCGGAGGAGGAAACGCAGGTACATACAAATGATTTTCTTAGTGTGATATTTTTTTATCAGAATAATGAAGTGTTTGGTGCAGTGTGCAACAAGTTATAAAAATAACAGACACAAGTAGGTTGAAGGCATACTACAATCCCCGCAAGCTGAAACAGAATCACGAAATATGTGTAGTATCCCTGGTATGTCACTGACTCCCCCAGCTGTATCCCTGGTATGTGACTGACTCCCCCCGCAGTGTCCCTGGTATATCACTGACTCCCCCAGCAGTATTCCTGGTATGTGACTGACTCCCCCAGCTGTATCCCTGGTATGTGACTGACTCCCCCAGCAGTATCCCTGGTATATCACTGACTCCCCCTGCAGTATCCCTGGTATGTGACTGACTCCCCCAGCTGTATCCCTGGTATGTGACTGACTCCCCCAGCAGTATCCCTGGTATATCACTGACTCCCCCAGCAGTATCCCTGGTATGTGACTGACTCCCCCAGCAGTATCCCTGGTATGTGACTGACTCCCCCAGCAGTATCCCTGGTATATCACTGACTCCCCCAGCAGTATCCCTGGTATGTGACTGACTCCCCCAGCAGTATCCCTGGTATGTGACTGACTCCCCCAGCTGTATCCCTGGTATGTGACTGACTCCCCCAACAGTATCCCTGATATGTCACTGACTCCCCCAGCAGTATCCCTGGTATGTCAATAACTCCCCCAGCTGTGTCCCTGGTATGTGACTGACTCCCCCAGCAGTATCCCTGGTATGTCACTGACTCACCCAGCAGTATCCCTGGTATGTGACTGACTCCCCAAGCAGTATCCCTGGTATGTCAATAACTCCCCCAGCTGTATCCCTGGTATGTGACTGACTCCCCAACAGTATCCCTGGTATGTGACAGACTCCCCCAGCTGTATCCCTGGTATGTGACTGACTCCCCCAGCAGTATCCCTGGTATGTCACTGACTCCCCCAACAGTATCCCTGATATGTCACTGACTCCCCCATCAGTATCCCTGGTATGTCAATAACTCCCCCAGCTGTGTCCCTGGTATGTGACTGACTCCCCCAGCAGTATCCCTGGTATGTCACTGACTCACCCAGCAGTATCCCTGGTATGTGACTGACTCCCCAAGCAGTATCCCTGGTATGTCAATAACTCCCCCAGCTGTATCCCTGGTATGTGACTGACTCCCCAACAGTATCCCTGGTATGTGACAGACTCCCCCAGCTGTATCCCTGGTATGTGACTGACTCCCCCAGCAGTATCCCTGGTATGTCACTGACTCACCCAACAGTATCCCTGGTATGTGACTGACTCCCCCAGCAGTATCCCTGGTATGTGACTGACTCCCCCAGCAGTATCCCTGGTATGTGACTGACTCCCCCAGCAGTATCCCTAGTATGTGACTGACTCCCCCAGCTGTATCCCTGGTATGTGACTGACTCCCCCAGCAGTATCCCTGGTATATCACTGACTCCCCCAGCAGTATCCCTGGTATGTGACCGACTCCCCCAGCAGTATCCCTGGTATGTGACTGACTCCCCCAGCAGTATCCCTGGTATATCACTGACTCCCCCAGCAGTATCCCTGGTATGTGACTGACTCCCCCAGCAGTATCCCTGGTATGTGACTGACTCCCCCAGCAGTATCCCTGGTATGTGACTGACTCCCCAAGCAGTATCCCTGGTATGTCAATAACTCCCCCAGCTGTATCCCTGGTATGTGACTGACTCCCCAACAGTATCCCTGGTATGTGACAGACTCCCCCAGCTGTATCCCTGGTATGTGACTGACTCCTCCAGCAGTATCCCTGGTATGTCACTGACTCACCCAACAGTATCCCTGATATGTCACTGACTCCCCCAGCAGTATCCCTGGTATGTCAATAACTCCCCCAGCTGTGTCCCTGGTATGTGACTGACTCCCCCAGCAGTATCCCTGGTATGTGACTGACTCCCCCAGCAGTATCCCTGGTATGTGACTGACTCCCCAAGCAGTATCCCTGGTATGTCAATAACTCCCCCAGCTATATCCCTGGTATGTGACTGACTCCCCAACAGTATCCCTGGTATGTGACAGACTCCCCCAGCTGTATCCCTGGTATGTCACTGACTCACCCAACAGTATCCCTGATATGTCACTGACTCCCCCAGCAGTATCCCTGGTATGTCAATAACTCCCCCAGCTGTGTCCCTGGTATGTGACTGACTCCCCCAGCAGTATCCCTGGTATGTGACTGACTCCCCCAGCAGTATCCCTGGTATGTGACTGACTCCCCAAGCAGTATCCCTGGTATGTCAATAACTCCCCCAGCTATATCCCTGGTATGTGACTGACTCCCCAACAGTATCCCTGGTATGTGACAGACTCCCCCAGCTGTATCCCTGGTATGTCACTGACTCCCCCAGCAGTATCCCTGGTATGTCACTGACTCACCCAACAGTATCCCTGGTATGTGACTGACTCCCCCAGCAGTATCCCTGGTATGTGACTGACTCCCCCAGCAGTATCCCTGGTATGTGACTGACTCCCCCAGCAGTATCCCTAGTATGTCACTGACTTCCCCACCATATCCCTGGTATGTGACTGACTCCCCCAGCAGTATCCCTGGTATGTGACTGACTCCTCTAGCTGTATCCCTGGTATGTGACTGACTCCTCTAGCTGCATCCCTAGTATGTGACTGTCTCCCCCAGCAGTATCCCTGGTATGTCACTGACTACCCAACAGTATCCCTGGTATGTCACTGACTCCTCTAGCTGTATCCCTGGTATGTCACTGACTCCCCCAGCAGTATCCCTGGTATGTCACTGACTACCCAACAGTATCCCTGGTATGTGACTGACTCCCCCAGCAGTATCCCTGGTATGGGACTAACTCCCCCAGCAGTTTCCCTGCCATGTCACTGACTCCCCCAACAGTATCCCTGGTATGTGACTTACTACCCCAGCAGTATCCCTGGTATGTGACTGACTCCCCCAGCAGTATCCCTAGTATGTGACTGACTCCCCCAGCAGTATCCCTGGTATGTGACTGACTCCTCTAGCTGTATCCCTGGTATGTCACTGACTACCCAACATTATCCCTGGTATGTGACTGACTCCCCCAGCAGTATCCCTGGTATAGGACTTACTCCCCCAGCAGTATCCCTGCCATGTCACTGACTCCCCCAACAGTATCCCTGGTATGTGACTGACTCCCCTAACAGTATCCCTGGTATGTGACTTACTACCCCAGCAGTATCCCTGGTATGTGACTGACTCCCCCCGCAGTATCCCTAGTATGTGACTGACTCCCCCAGCAGTATCCCTGGTATGTGACTGACTCCTCTAGCTGTATCCCTGGTATGTGACTGACTCCTTTAGCTGTATCCCTGGTATGTGACTGACTCCTCTAGCTGTATCCCTAGTATGTGACTGACTTCCCCAGCAGTATCCCTGGTATGTGACTGACTCCCCCAGCAGTATCCCTGGTATGTGACTGACTCCTCTAGCTGTATCCCTGGTATGTGACTGACTCCTCTAGCTGCATCCCTAGTATGTGACTGTCTCCCCCAGCAGTATCCCTGGTATGTCACTGACTACCCAACAGTATCCCTCGTATGTCACTGACTCCTCTAGCTGTATCCCTGGTATGTGACTGACTCCCCCAGCAGTATCCCTGGTATATCACTGACTCCCCCAGCAGTATCCCTGGTATGTGACTGACTCCCCCAGCTGTATCCCTGGTATGTGACTGACTCCCCCAGCAGTATCCCTGGTATATCACTGACTCCCCCAGCAGTATCCCTGGTATGTGACCGACTCCCCCAGCAGTATCCCTGGTATGTGACTGACTCCCCCAGCAGTATCCCTGGTATGTGACTGACTCCCCAAGCTGTATCCCTGGTATGTGACTGACTCCCCCAACAGTATCCCTGATATGTCACTGACTCCCCAAGCAGTATCCCTGGTATGTCAATAACTCCCCCAGCTGTGTCCCTGGTATGTGACTGACTCCCCCAGCAGTATCCCTGGTATGTCACTGACTCACCCAGCAGTATCCCTGGTATGTGACTGACTCCCCAAGCAGTATCCCTGGTATGTCAATAACTCCCCCAGCTGTATCCCTGGTATGTGACTGACTCCCCAACAGTATCCCTGGTATGTGACAGACTCCCCCAGCTGTATCCCTGGTATGTGACTGACTCCCCCAGCAGTATCCCTGGTATGTCACTGACTCACCCAACAGTATCCCTGGTATGTGACTGACTCCCCCAGCAGTATCCCTGGTATGTGACTGACTCCCCCAGCAGTATCCCTGGTATGTGACTGACTCCCCCAGCAGTATCCCTAGTATGTCACTGACTTCCCCAGCAGTATCCCTGGTATGTGACTGACTCCCCCAGCAGTATCCCTGGTATGTGACTGACTCCTCTAGCTGTATCCCTGGTATGTGACTGACTCCTCTAGCTGCATCCCTAGTATGTGACTGTCTCCCCCAGCAGTATCCCTGGTATGTCACTGACTACCCAACAGTATCCCTGGTATGTCACTGACTCCTCTAGCTGTATCCCTGGTATGTCACTGACTCCCCCAGCAGTATCCCTGGTATGTCACTGACTACCCAACAGTATCCCTGGTATGTGACTGACTCCCCCAGCAGTATCCCTGGTATGGGACTAACTCCCCCAGCAGTTTCCCTGCCATGTCACTGACTCCCCCAACAGTATCCCTGGTATGTGACTTACTACCCCAGCAGTATCCCTAGTATGTGACTGACTCCCCCAGCAGTATCCCTAGTATGTGACTGACTCCCCCAGCAGTATCCCTGGTATGTGACTGACTCCTCTAGCTGTATCCCTGGTATGTCACTGACTACCCAACATTATCCCTGGTATGTGACTGACTCCCCCAGCAGTATCCCTGGTATGGGACTTACTCCCCCAGCAGTATCCCTGCCATGTCACTGACTCCCCCAACAGTATCCCTGGTATGTGACTGACTCCTCTAGCTGTATCCCTGGTATGTGACTGACTCCTC